CTGCCGTGGAACAGAAACAGTGCTGTATACAATGGATACAGAGCAGAAAGGAAAACAATGCCTTCTTCCTATTGGTACTGTTATTCTGTGCTTCTTAAACATACCCATTAAGTACACCCTTTTCCATCTGTGGCCATGCCCCATTTTTCTACTGACTGAGGGCAGAACACTTCTCACACATCTGACAAAGAGAGCACTAGTCCATGAAAGCAAAATTCTGCAACAAGAACATGGTTGGACTACAAGGTACCACCAGAGCATTGTTTCTTCTGCAAAAAGGCCTGACATAGCTACCTTAAATAATTCAGGTAGAAAAACTGGGGAGGGGGGAGGATATGCACCCCTCCTACTGGATGTACTCTAAATCACACCACTCCCTTTATAGCAAATCTTAGAGCAGACATGGCGCAGGTCTGCCGCCATAATGTCTTTCTCTCGCTAAGAGGCAATTAGATGCAATTCATTACCAAACTGGGAAGTAATGTCTAAATTAGACACTTTTTCCATCTTTGGGCAGAAATTGAACCCCCCTCCATTAGATGTTGTTTTCCAATTTTAAGAGCATGCTGTTTCACATTTGAAGATACCATTTGGCAAAAACAAAAGAATCTCATGAACATGAAACGTGATGCCCTCAACTTGCTGTGCCTCATCGAGTCTGGACAGGGGTCTAAATGAATTTGTAGTGTGAATATATCGCCGATTCATTTTTGTGGCTGTCTGTAGGGCAGGAGGAATTTTGCTTGTTGACGTTTGATTGAAACCTGCATTAGCTGCCAGCGCCCACACGAACCGGAAAAAAGAACTTAAAGGCAAGTGAGAGATTGACTGTAGACATGTACATCTGATCTGACTGATTTTCACACTTCCCTAGATTTAACTAAGAGCTGCTTTCACAGAAGCTCTGGCAAACCCATGCCCTTTCTAAATAAAATTATGAACAATTTGCAAACGTATGTGTGACCACATGGAATACAAATAAGGAGACTGCTTGTGAAATTCCTTCCATTAACTATAATTTCATTTATTTAAGGTTTTCTTTTTAATATTCTTCCTTTCCATAAAATGTGCCCGAGGCAGCTTACAATCAATGTGGAACAATTTAAACAAATCAATATATAAAAAATTGCTAGAATAAGCCACCTGTAAGATAAGGAAACAGCCTAAATGAACAATTGGCAGCAGCAAAAGGCACAAAGTGTGTCTTACATTTGATACTAAACAGATTAAATCTATGAAGCAATTAACAAGATAGCAATTGAGTGGAGGAGGGGAACTAGGCAGCCAACTGGAGAACAACCACTGAGAAAATCCTCTCTGCAACAGCCATTGGCTAAACTACAGGTTACCAGGGCCAGCTCTAGATTCTGGGGAGCCCTTAGGCATTTACACCCCACATTTCTTCCATTGTGAAACCCAAAGCATCATACCTGTAGTTCCCAGGCAGTCACTCTTCTAGGCAATGACCAGATAAGCTTTAGCAAGGCTGTGGCCTCAGGCTTTATTGGGGTGAGGAAAAGAGGTGGCAGAAAAAGAGAGAGAAACAAGTGGCCTTATCCCCCCACCACTAATCCCACCCTCTGTTGGCTTTAACCCCGTCCACAATTTGCCTGCAGTCCCTGATGGGTTATCCCCAAAGGAAAATACAGCCCTTGACAGGGGTGGAATCTACACACATATAAAAAATGCTGTGAAAATGCTTTTTTAAAAAAAGTTTTGAAAAATACATTGAATTTGTCATAGCTCACTGTCGCCATCTAGTGTCACATTTGTATATTGCATGTCCTTCACATAAGCCCTCTCTGTCCAAAATTCCTGGGTGCCAGCTTGATTGTATGTGAAGCTGTGCACAAGTTTTCCTACCTGGAGATAATCCTCATGCAGGAAAGAGTCACCTAGTAGTAATTAGAAATGTGTGTTTGCGCCCTTGGAAAGTGCGACTGTTTGGAACCAGATTATGGCAATGACTGCAGTGCTGGCATTTTGTTAATGGATCAACGTCTCCTTTTGTTTCTTTAGTTTGCATAGTTTGATTAAGAGACCAAAGTATGAATGAAAGAAACGCAGATAATTCTCTTTATAGAGATTGCACTGTGTGGAAACTGTGGCTTTCTGAGTTAATCAAGCATCCCTGAAGAGCTGCCAACATTCATTTTCCTTGTAATGCCCATTAGAATGCAAGAGGAAGCAGACGACACATCATGGCCAAACACCTGACGTTCTGGCATTGTGAATGTAACGGGGGTGAAGAAATAATTCTCTCATCATCAGTCACTAACAAAAGCAGTACAGGAAGAAAGATAGAAGGAAAGTGGGATGTAAGGCTGGAGGCAGAATTCAAGGCTATATTGCACATTTTGAGCATTTTTTAAATTTAAGTTGTTGAACTCTTAACACTCATCAACCCCAGCCAGTGTTGTCAGAGCTCAGGGTTGATGGGATTCCAAAAATATCTGGAGGGCTAGAGGGTCCCAAGCAGGGCTGTAGACTTTTCTAAAATGGAGCCATGGGGATGTGATTTTCTTTCCCAGGCAGAGAGTCTTCGGGAAAGTTTTTCCAGAGAAATGAGACCAAGCTGACAGCGTTGGGGAGGGGAGGGGGTGGAAAACCTTCCAAGAATCAGCCCAACTCACATTGCAATTCAGGGTACACACAGCGCCAGCGAACACTCCTACAGAATAAGTCCATCAGCTGCCTTAATGCCCATGTTCTTCATAAGTATTCTTCAAACCAGCTATTGGCAAAAACAGAAATGAAGTATCCTCTAAAAGGTTTACTAATAAAAGGAAACAGGCTTTCATTTTGAAAAAAAAAATCCATACTCAATCCAAGATAACAAAATATATAGAAGAATTAATAGGAATAGCCTATGAAAAGTATAGCATGGACACGATGAATTCATGATGAAATCCCTGGCATAGTGAAGAGGAATCAGGGCCGGCCCAAGTCATTTTGCCACCTGAGGTGGACCCCAAAATGGTGCATGTTCCCTGCCAGGGAAGAAGAGGTGAGGGAAGATCTGCATCAGGAACAAAGGAGGTGGGGAAAGAAAGATCAACAGCTGTCCCTGTGGATCCTGCCACCTGAGGTGGCCACCTCACCTTGGCCTCATGGATGGGCCTGCCTTGAGGGGAATGCAGGCGAGCATAGTTCCAGGACTTTTTTCAGAGCAGGAGCAATGATGAAGTGATAGCAAGGCTTTCAAATTCTTTTGAAAAACTAGAGGGTCTCAGCTTTAAAAAAAATAAAAAAATCACCCCCACTCCCCAGGTGGCAGCCCTTTCACCAAACCAGCCCAGTGAGAATTGCCCTTGTTCAGAAACCATGGGACACTGGGGGCACACCCACACCATACATTTAAAGCAAATGGTTCCCCCCCAAAATCCTGAGAAGTATAGCTTGCCATTGCAGAGCTGCAATTCCCAGCACCCTTAACACATTGCAACAGTGTGGGAAACTGTGTGAATTAAATGTATGGTACCGATGTGCCCTAAGGGTTAATAGGAAAAGGAAAAAGGAAAAAGGAAAACTGGGAGTGTGAGGAGGGGAGGGGGAGATTTGAGTGTCCTTATCAGCCGATGAATGAAGATTAAACCTTGCTGCCTAAGCTGTGTGGTCCTGCTCCTTCAGCACAGCCATTGGAGGATTACACCCTGCCCTACCTATCAGTGAATGTCATCAGTGATGTCAGGTGGGTGTGGTTTTAGGGGGGAAGTGGCTTGGAGGGCCAAATTGGACTCCCTAGCAGGCCATGATTGGTCTCCACATACTGGAGCTTTTTTGGCCCTATGGTACCCCTGCCCGTACGGGCCAGTCGTGTCCAACTCTAGGGTTGCGTGCTCATCTCGCTCTAGAGGCCGTGAGCCAGCGCTGTCCGAAGACACTTCCGGGTCACGTGGCCAGCGTGACGAAGCTGCAGCTGGCGAGCCAGCACCAGCGCAGCACACAGAAACGCCGTTTACCTTCCCTATTTATCTACTTGCACTTAAGAGTGCTTTCGAACTGCTAGGTGGGCAGGAGCTGGGACCGAATGACGGGAGCTCACCCCGCTGCGGGGATTCGAACCGCCGACCATACGATCGGCAAGTCCTAGGCACTGAGGTTTTACCCACAGCGCCACCCGCGTCCCTCTTTTGGCCCTATACTAGGAGGTAAATACAAATTTTGCTTGGGGTTCCCTAGTATTTGCTAGTAGCAGGCTGAAGCCTTCAGCAGGCATCTGAGCAAAAATCCAGCCTTATTAGCCCATCTGTGCCCTATATCTTTCTTCCTAAGTTTCAGGGTTAGACATTTCAAAACAGTGCCTCAAACGCGGCAAATGACACAAACTAGAACACAAAGGCCTTTTCCAAAAAGAACAAAGCTCTTTTGAAGGCAGCTCAAATTGTCAATGCTAAATTAAAAATTAAAAATCCATTCCGTGGGCTGAAGAGAGATGGTGAGTGTGCCAGACAGCCCTTAGGGCGATGACGTTAAAAAAAAAAATTCTTTCCACTACAGCTATAAAGCTCTCTTTCGTAATATATTTATCGCGTCACGAAATATATAGCTGACTTGCATGAATATGTTGCATGGGTATCGTTTTCTTTGGCAGCATCTATGTGAAAACAGCTTGGATGAGTAATAATGAAACCTGTGGAAAAAAATCTGGTTCCTTTACTGCCTAATTATTGATGGGCATCAAAAGCAGCAGGCTGGTGTGTGCTGTGCTTTTTTAAAGGATTTTTCCTCCCTCAATCCAATAAACAACTGATGCATGCTGTTTGCACAAAATTAAGAGTTATATGCTCATAAACATATAAACATCAGCTATATTTTTCAAGCAGTGTGTTTAATATGTATTAAATTGAAGTTTTATCTTTGCTTAGCACTAAGATGACAAAGCAAAATGTGGGCAACAGCGAAGGCTGATGGTGCTAATATTAGACAATCCGTCCATCTCCACCATGCGCTTGGCCTTACCAAGCAAAAAGAATGTGCCATATCTCATATTGCCCATGTTAGACTTCTCTGCAATTGTATTGACCTTGCCTGTCAAAGCAAAAGACATATGGCTTTAATACCGAACAACACTTCGTTCTCATAACAAAGCTCTGTTGCACGTACTGCACACTAGTGCTCAATAGCCAGGAAAGTTGAACTCGATCCTGCTGTTTAGCACTTAGCTCTCCTCACTGGCTGGCTGACACATGTCAGAACTTCAAAGCTCGGTCATAAACTATAAGCCACAATCTTGGTGTAATCAGCAGCAAAATCCCCGTTGGCTGTAAATGTGAAAGTCCAGGGGTTGCAAGCAATGTTTCTGCGCAAGCTAACCTTATCATCCAGTCCTTGCAGGGTGCTTCAGCCACAGACAGAGATTGGCTTCGGATCAGTGTAGTCTGTGCCAATGGTGCCATTATTTCAGCCTTAGTACATGAGGCCTGCAAAAAGTCACATCAAAGGGAGGAATTCACTTTGAGGCTTGCAAATAGTCCACAATGTTTTTGGTGAGTGTCAGAATCAGGTTCTGCCCTAACAAAATGCGGTTCAACTCATGTTTGGATCTTGCCAACATAGATTTGCTTTTAAAAAATTCCTTATAGGAAGAGCTGTGTGAAGCTCTCCTAACAAAGGAAACATTCATACCTTACATTTAAAGTGGTATTATACCACTTTAGTAGTTGTGGAGATTCCTGAGAACTGCAGCTTCTTAAGGGTGCTGAGAATCGTAGCTTTGCAAGTTCAGCACCTTGAGCAAACGGCAGTTCCCAGAATTCTCCATTACTGCTAAAGTGACATAGGAGTGCTTTAAATGTATGGTGCAGATGGAACTAGAAACAAGAAGACTTGACTATGAATGGGTGTGGGCTTGTTACCGTTAGCCACTAGAGGGCAGGCAGAGTTAACCTTAGCTGAGTCTCAGCCCCAGGATCAATACCAAAGATCAGCACTTTGATATCAGGCAAGTGCTGTACTTTTTGGGGGGAGCTGCTAAAGATTTCTTTTGTTTAAGTGAGCCTACCCATAAAGTACATTTGACATGTACTTTAATATGTACATATTATTTTACAATGCATATTTTTTAAAACTGCTGACTTTATTGATAATTTTATTGCATATTTTATATTTTATGTAAGCTGCTTAGAGGATTTGATGATTAAGCGGCATATAAATCCTGTTAAAAAGAGTATAACAAAAGAATAAAAACAACCTTTCTCTTCATTCGTGTTCCACCAGCAACTGAAGATACTCATTTTTAAACAAGCTTTTTAATTCTGTTGCAGCTTAATGTATATATTGTTAGTTCTGCTCTTTATGTGCTGCTGTTTCTAGTTTGGTAATTTGGGTTTTAATGGTTCGATAATTTTTGCATATAGATTTGTCGGCTGCTGCAAGGAGCTTCTTTGTGGAGGGGGAAGTGGGATATGGATTTTTAAAAATGAAAATGAGCAATTAATCAGGTAGTCCCTCATTCAGATCTCTCCCCTGCCTTGAACTGAGTATACAAGTGGGGCCTGCAACAAAAGGTTGCATTGTGGAGCATTGCTGCCCAAAATTCCAGCTGTTCCCTTCCCTGTTGTGCTCCAGAAGATTCTCTCAAAGCCTGGGGTCTCAGTGAGGTAAAAGCCTTTTACCAAAACAGTTGTCCAAGAAAGTACAGTCCAAGGTACAGCATAGTCTCAGTTAAGCCAAGCCCAATCACTTTATATTCTGTGGCCTCCTAAACCACATTCTAGCTCAGGCATCACCAAACTCAACCCTACAGATGTTTTGGGACTACAACTCCCATCATCCCTGACCACTGGTACTGTTAGCTAGGGATGATGGGAGTTGTACAGTGGTACCTCGGGTTACATACGCTTCAGGTTACATACGCTTCAGGTTACAGACTCCGCTAACCCAGAAATAGTACCTCAGGTTAAGAACTTTGCTTCAGAATGAGAACAGAAATCGTGCTCCGGCAGCGCAGCGGCAGCGGGAGGCCCCATTAGCTAAAGTGGTGCTTCAGGTTAAGAACAGTTTCAGGTTAAGAACGGACCTCCAGAACGAATTAAGTACTTAACCCAAGGAACCACTCTAGTCCCAAAACATCTGGAGGGCCGAGTTTGGGGATGTATGTTCAAGCTGCAGCTGCTTGGTAGTAACTAAGTTTTAGGGATTCTTCATTCACAAGTAGACCCCTTACTCATGAGCCACATGATGACTCAAAGTCTGTAGACATACGTTGTGTCATGGCTCTTTGGATTGGACTCTGGGCCTTTTGGCACCAATCTTCTCAGAGACTGAGGGGTGGCTCTTCCTCCTCCTCCTCTGTAATGGGTTTAGGGGTTGCTCGTGCGTAAGTTGCCGCCACTCCTGGCTAGGTTACCTGGCTGAACCCTTTCTGACCGGACAGCTTCTAGCTTCGTGGCTGTCTCAGTCGCTGGCAGTATCCGTCAGTGGGCGTTTCTTGAACTTCTTCCAGCACAAAAGTTCTTTGATGCCTAGTCTCCGTCTAGTCTCCCTGCGCGGAAGCCTTCTGTGCAGGGAGGGTGTGGGCAGCGGAGGACCTGTACTCTCTCCGCTGGTCTCCGGTGAGGAGTCTTGGAGCCTCCTCTCCGATTCCCCCATCTGCCCCCCTTCTCCACTGGTGTTACACTGATTTCCTTCCCCAGTGGACGGGCTGCCTCTCTCCCTACTGGGACCCTCTCCGGCATCCCTCTGGAGCCTTCCCTCCGCCTCTAGCTCCGATGGCAGTTCCCTGACATCCTCTAACAAAGTTCTTCAGCAGGTCTCAACCTAGACAGCTCCACAGGAAGATTCTCAGCACTGGTGCTAGGAGGCCCTGCCTGTTGCTCAAGGTTCTTGCCCTGTGAAGCGTCTGGTTTGTCCTCCAAGGACTCAGTGTCTGGCACCAGCTCAGGGCTAGGTAGGATGGCCCCACCCCTGATTTTCCGCCCCGCACATAACAGCCAGTCAGAATTTACACTGAACTATTTTAAGGGTTCGTTCTATAGGACTAAACTTTTTTTTTATACTTCTGCAAACTTCTAGTACTTCTACTGCTGCCTCCCTGGACAGATGTTGCCAATCTGGCTGTGTAAGAAATGACATTCACAGCCTGGACATTGGAAAAAGAGGGAACAATTAACCAACATGCTATTATTCTTCCGAAGAATTATGACCCAAATCTGTACCTCTCTTTTTTTGTGTGTGGGAGAAGTTTAATTTTCATTTTTATTCTCTGTATTTCCTTCCTTCTTTCTCTATTTCCTTGTTTCAGGGATTCCCATACCGTGTGACTCATAGACCACCAGTTGGTCCATGAGCTTCATTCAGGTGGTTCATGGAGTGTTGGTGAAAATACCATTACAAATCATGTAGCATCTACTGAAGTGCTTTACCATTGATACAACAAGCAGAAAAATCATTAAGTGGTCCACCGAGAGCAATTGTAAAGTGATCTGTAGGGATGGAAATGGGAGTGTGGGAACCCCTGCCTCATTTCTTACATGGTTTTGAATTGTATGGTTTTGATTAAATACATTTTTAAAAAGCAATATTAAAAAATAATTAACAAGCATTATTATGTTTCGATAAGGAAGGCAGTGAGAAAAAACGGTCAATTTTTATAACATATTGGAATAATAAGGATTCAGCCTTGAAGAATATTGGGAATGTTATAAAGGAGGTGTTGATATGAATAAGGCTTTGGCACTGGGTGGTTAATAATGTATCTGGTTACCAATATAATGGCTTCGAATTTGAAAAACAAAACAAAAACAAAGGCAGGGCATTAATTTGGGAGTAGGAGGGTGGAGATTTCTTATCATCATTGCATTTGAAGCTATAGAAAAAGTTTGTACAAAGCATTTGCGGAATTTTAAAAAATGCAAATGAAAAATTATTATTATTTAATTGCTACATCGCCATTCCTCTCACAGTGCAGAGCAACATGGCAACATAACTTGATTATTGCAATGTGCTCTATGCGTGGCTACCCTTGAGCCTGGTCTGGAGGCTCCAGCTACATTGTGCGCCCAATTTTACGGAACTCCTTTCCAGTTGATGTCTGACAGGCCTTCCTCCCTTATGGCACCTGTTGAAGACCTTTTTATTCCAGTGGGCATAGCTGCCAACTTCCTGGGGCCCTGGGTGCCCAAGCACCCACAAAATTCCCCGTGAAGGGGCAGGGCACCCACAAATTTCGGTGCCAGGGCCATGCACGCTGCATGGCACGTATGGCCCTAGGCACCCATGATTGCAGGGCCAAGCTGACACTCTTGCCAGCAGCCATTTTATGTTTGTTTTTGTCGTTATAACTGATGTTTACTTCTGGGGCATTGTATCTTTGTAAACTATTTCGAGACGACTGCAGTTCAGAGATACATGAAGGTTTTAAATAAATAAATCAAATGAATAACAATCACTTGCAAAAACTGCAGGACTATGGCGAGTCACTACTTCTAAGCCCAGTCTGCTTTACAGCGTTGGGGTGAAGTATTGGTGGGGAATCTATTTATACTATCTTGAGCACCACAGAAGAAAGGCATGTTGTATAAAGTAATAAATATGAAATACAAAAGGTGTAGTTTCTTCTCACACATCATTGCACAGCACATCTCCTGGGTCATTGTCCCTGAAGGGTGCTTTACATGTGTCGAGACTTACCACATCTCAGTCTCAAATAGTATTGTGTTATAACAAAGAAAGTGCCTCTGAGCAATGTGCAGAGTGCTTGTTATTACATTTCATTTCAATCCTATCCTTCCTTTTTTATTATTAAAAAAGCACACATTCTCCCACTTTTATTCTCACAACAGCCTTGTGAGGTAGGTTAAGAAGATGAGTTAGACTAGCAGAAGATAATGTACAAGTGCTGTGACGCTGAGGAGTGACTTGCGCCCAGGTTTCCCCAGTTTTATTTACAGTATTACATTACAGCATCCAAAGAGCTTGAGGTGGCACGCATGGCTCTCCTCCTCTCCATTTCATCCTCACAACAACCTTGTGAGGTAGGCTAAGCCGAGAGGCTGGTGAGCTCCATGGTTGAGTGAGGGGATTTGAACCCTGGTCTCCCTGGTCCTAGTCTAGCACTGTAGCCACTACACGATACTGCCCATCACACATTATTATTATTATTATTATTATTTCACTGTTTCAACCCACATGCGAGAGAAGAGCTGCGACGGGCTTTGAGCCCAGACACCTCTCCTTCAGGTTAGAGGAATGAGCGAAAGTTTCTCCTCAGAGAATAAAATCGAAATAAGCTTTCGCGCCTTTTCTCCCGCGCTTTGCTTCGCGCCAAAAACCCGCGCGCCCCCGCCCCCCAGCGAGCACGCGCCTTTCCCCATCCTCCTCGCGCGCTTCCCTCGTTCTCTCCCAAGCTGGAAACGAACGAGGATGCTTCCCGCCTTCTCTCTCTCCGCCCCCACCTCCGCCGCCCCTCTCTACTCTTCGCCCCGCCCTGCCAGTCAAGAGCCGAGAAGGCGTCACGCGGGCTTCCGAACCGACCGACCAATCAGAGCGAGAGGCGGCCACGGCGCGCTCCCTTTGCCCGGCTCTCCCACGCCCCCTCCCTCCTCGCAGCTTACCCGGCTCAGCCTTTTAAGAGCGCGCGAGCCGCTTCGCCGGCGCAATCCTAGTTTTGCTGTCTCTTGTGACGAGTTGCTGCTGGGCGTTGCAAGCTTTCTCCCGCTCCGCACTTTCTTCCCCTGCGAAGAAAAGTGCTTCCCCACGCGGAGAGACGCTCGCTGGGCGCTTCCCGACGGCAAGCCGTTTGGAAACCCCCACCGCAGGAGCTTTCCCCGGGTCTGGCAGCCTCTTCCCCGCAACCCCATGCTGAGCCGGTCCCTCCCGCAGTAAGTTAGCGCCCCCCACCCACCCCACCCCACCGGCCGGCATGCTGCTGCCTGTCTTAGCGGGGCTGGCTTTCTCCGCGTGGGGGGCAGCGGGCGCCCAGGAGAGCCCCCCGGGGAGCCGCTTCGTGTGCACCTCGCTGCCTCTGGACGCCGCCAACCCGGGCTGCCCGCTGCCCCCCATCCCCATGCAAGGGGGCGGGCTGCCCCCCGAGGAGGAGCTGAAGGCCACCGTGCTGCAGCTGCGGGAGACGATCCTGCAACAGAAGGAGACCATCGGGAACCAGAGGGAGGCCATCCGCGAGCTGACCGCCAAGCTCGGCCGCTGCGAGACCCCCGACGGCAAAGCGGGCACGTGGAGGAAGGAGTTCGGCAAAGGCAAGGACACCATGGGCGACTTGCCCCGCGACCCCGCCAAGATCATCGACCAGCTCAGCCGCACCATGCAGACGCTCAAGGATCGCCTGGAGAACCTGGAGGTGAGGACGGGGGAACGCGGGCGGAGCTGTCCGCGGTGCTGAAAGTTAGCCGCTGACTTCGCCAAGCAGGGACGGCAGCCAGTTGGCGGTAATGGATAGCGGGGAGGGCTCTGTGCCGAGCGGGAGCTGTCTGTGGTGCTGCAATTTGGCCTCTGGTCCTGGGAAAAGAGCGCACCCCGTTGGGGGTGATTGACAGGTGGTAGCTCGGTGCGGGGTGGGAGCTGTTTGTGGTGCTTCCATCTCTTTTTGGAAAAGAGAGCGGCACCCTTGTGGGTGACTGATGCCAGGTAGCTTGTGTTTGGTTTGAAGGTGAGAAAGTCACTTTGCCTTTGAAACTTGACTCTTAGGGAGTCCTAATAGGGATAAAACAACCTTTTGTGTGTCCAGGATGCTGAAAATTGGCTACTGGTGTGGAAAGGAGGCAAGCTAGACTTATGCTGCAATCCTAAAAGTTAGCCTTACTAGGGAGCAAGCACTTCAGGGCATACTGGAATTTACTTTTTTAAAGTAGGCATTGCATTGTAAGTATCACTGAGTTCAGCCCTAACCCTTCTTCCACAGCGTTGAAGGCGATATGTATATAGGAACATGGGAAGCTGCCCTATACTGAGGTAGACCATTAGTCTAGCTAGTTCAGTCTGCCTGCACTGACTGGCAGTGGCTTTCCAGGGTTTCACAAGGAGGGAGTCTCTCTCAGACCTGTCTGGAGAAGCTGGAAATTGTGCATGCAAAACAGATGCTCTTTCACTTTGCTACTGCCTCCCGCTTTCTTTATCCCTGTGTGACAGGCATAGGCTGAAATACATTAACTGGCCCCAAGGTCATCCACAAAGCCTTGGGGCTGAGATTTGAACCCAAATCTCCTCAATCTATACCCCAGACTCTATGCACTATACTATACTAGAATGATGGCTAAATGGAGCCTCCATGTGTAGGGGGACTGTACCTCTGAATACCAGTTGCTGAAGGAGGCAACAGCTGAGCACGGCAGCAGCCCTTTTGCCCTGTTTGCAGGCTTGCCAGAGACGGCTGGTTGGCCAGTGCAAAATGTTGAGCTTGATCCAGCAGTGCTATTCTTATACTGCTGCATAAATAACCTACACATTCTTCTGAGTAGTTGTAGTGTCGAGGAACAGGATTTGATATTATCCCCCATCAAGAAGTGCCCAGATCCCATTATAGCAGCTTTGCAACCTTCATTTTCTTAAAAATAGTCTATTGCTGTCCATATCTAAAGAATTGTGTGAAACATCTTCATTCCTAGTCTATGCCTCTGGTCCATTCTATAGTATGGTGCTGTTCCAAGTTCAAATACTAGGTCATTTTTGGGGGAAGAACTCCATATTTGTGCCCACCTGTCTTCTTTTTTTGCCATTTTCTTAGCCATTCAACATTTGTAACCTATAGTTTCATCTTCTAGGAAGCTGAAGGTGCGTCTCTCCTTAGGGGATTGTTGTCACCCGCTAAATATATACGTCGTAGATTATCAGGGGAGCAATTAGTGAAGTTTCAACCTTCTGGGACACTGCAATAAACAGGCTTCATTTCCCAGAAACTCTTAGTCATCGTCTCATCTTTAATGGGATTCTTTTTAAAAAGAAAGGCTGCTCAGGTTTTATGTAAATCACTTTCTTGAACTTCTCTTTTATAAAAGGGGAACTTTATTATCACATTAAGCAGAGAAGCTATACTTTAATCCAGGCATAAGAGGGAGAATATGAAGGGGAAGAGAGATCTGGAATTGGTCATTTTATTAGAAATCCAAAGAAATAAAATATTCACCAGCTCCTGGCAAGGCGATGCTTGTTCTGAGGCCTGGTGCAGATTTTGTGAAAATTGATTGCAACAAGTACAAACTACAGAACTGGTGTTTATGAGGTACTGTTCTCCCCAATGGAAGCACAAGAAGGTATAGATGTTCTATGTGTGTTTACCAATAAAATGGATTGAGAGGAGATTTGTGGGTTTTATTTCCCTGCCCTGGTGCTTTTCATTTCTTTTTCTTAATCTCAGCCTCGGCTAAGAACATAGTTGCTTAAGAGGTTGCAGTGTAACGTTGACATCCTAGATAATGTGTCCTTGGCATATGGTGCCATGTAAGAACATGAGGGTTTTTATTTTGTTTTAAGTGTTAAGTGCCGGTTCATCTTCTCAACAGTTTAACTATACAACCCGCTACAAAGACAATTGGAATGAATGAGACAGTACTTTAGATATTATTTTTATTATTAGATAGATTATTTTAGATATTATTTTTCAGCCCAGTGGTCACTGATGCTTAAATATTAATGCAGGGTATATCTCCTCTCCCAATCCAGCTGTCATTTTGAAGGACATGGTTGAAAGCTTTTTGTAATCAATGCAGAATTCGGTGTTTGAAGCAGCTCTTACATTTGCTTGAAGTGCTGTCAATGTATAATGAGGAAGTCTCATAGTAATCAAATATCAAGGATACAGCTGTTAAGGACAAGTTTTCCCCCTTCCTCTTTGGAAAGGAACATTATCAGTAAGGTGCAGCACCTTTGGAAATGCTAGATGCTTTGTTTGATTACCTGTGGGACACAGTGAGGCAACCTGTGGCCCAGAGGTCACAGGTATCCCCCTGTTTCATTTCATTTCTTCTTCTTGACTATGACATTGAATAAACATAAGGATGGATGAACTCAGTAACATCAGGCCTATAAAAATGTAAATAAAATGGCTAGCAGCAATGCTTTTATTGCACAGTTCAAAGGCACCCTCATGAACGCTCCAGTAAAAGGATTCAAAGAGTTAGCCATTCAGTGACGATTTACACAAATTTATCCGCATTCCCCAAAATCACATGTCTAGATTGGCGTGAGATCTCTGTCGCATGCGCCATAAGCATTTAACAATTGTTCATGCAAAGAAATTTTAAAGCTGGCAGCTAATGCCCCTGTGGAAGCTATTGCATGCCACCAAAGTCACACATTCACCCCCAAACATACCTGCATAGAAGTGACGTCACTTTCTGTAGAATGGAGCTGCTTAAGAGTTATCAACCGTCCATTTGTAAGTAAAAAAGTTGACTTCTGGTCATAACTGAAAGTGTTGGTTTGACCCAGTGGTAGCCAATATGATGCCCTCCATTTGAAATTAGCCAGGCGCTGGGCGCATTTTGTACCTGGCTATCGGCCACTTGCAACCACGTGAAGATGTTTGGGGCACCAGGACTGCACCTGATGTCTCTACTCTCTGGAGGTGCGTGCCTGGGGATCCTTGGATCTCGCCTGTTTGCACACACTAGCAACACAGCCTGTAGAAGTCAATCCATTATATTTTATTTGCGCAATCGGAATGAATTTTAGGAGCCAAAAAGTTGTTTTGAAAAATATGATTTTCAAACCATCTGGCCCCAAAATGGCAACTAGGCATTCTGTTTTAGTGAATGTAACCCAGGTTTAAGGAGCCAATTGGCTCCTAGCTTATATATCTGAGTTTTTAACACTGCCTCCAGATGTTTCCAGCTTCCAGCAGCTGCAGCCAGCATGGAGACCTCTATACTTCCAGAAGTCCTTTTCCCACAGCTGATCTCCGTATTGATTGCTGAATTGCTCTTGTAGAGCATGAAGCCAGGTCATTTCTAGCATTGCTCCATCTTTGCAGGGTATCGTTGACTTGCCAAGACCCTCCATTTCTGCTTTCCTAAAAGAAGGCTAAAACTTTGTTTATTCCAGCAACCCTCTACAGTTGTTAGAATGAGATCTGTAAGGTCTGACTGTTGGGGATTGTGTGGACTGCTTTAATTCATTGTTTTGCAATGCCTGTTTTATTTATGACATAGCTCATCTCCCCACCCTCACTGCTAGTTTTTTTTAAAAGGAGATGTATTTTTCAAACGTGAACTATTACTGCATTATAAATTGGAATTTAAAATAAGGCTGTGTTCCTAATCATGCTTATTTGAATATTAACAGTGTTGTATCCAATGCTATTCCTACTCATAGTAGACTCCTTGAAATTAATGGGAATTACTCCCTTGGGATACTGTTAATCAGCTATTAGATGAATTGAATCCTGCTGCTCTCTTCCTTCTTGCCCTGAAAGGCTGATCTGTGGAAATCCAGCTTTTTAAAGAGAGGGTGGTTTACCGGGTTCTGCATATACATCCCCGGCTGTTAGATCACAGAGGAGAAATGTACACACGTCTCCCATCTGCACACATGGTTTTCCATACAGTGAGATATATGAACTCAGAAGCTCAATTTTTGCTGCATTTGCTTGACTTCCAGCTGCCCTGGGGCATATGAGAAGATAATATAGTATTAGTGTCTCGTTAAGTTTAATGAATGAGAATTGTGGCGTTTTGTTTTGTTTCCCCCTTGTCCCCTCTCCTTTATAGCATCAGCTCCGAGCGAACGTGTCCTATACAGCCCTGCCTCACGATCTCCGAGAGATGCTTCAGAGGAGGCTGGGAGATTTAGAGCGCCAGCTTTTAAGCAAAGTGGCAGACCTGGAGAATGAGAAATCCCTGCTTCATAATGAGACTTCCACCCATCGGCAAAGGACAGAGGCAGCACTGAACGCACTTCTTGAAAGGGTTTCTGAACTAGAAAGAGGTAATGATGATGCCTAATTTACATCCTCCTTTGTATATTCCGGCGTGGGTTTATTTTTGTTTGACTTGTTGACTCAGCAGGAGCTCAGATGTCCTGCAACACTCCAGTCCTGTGTATTGATTTAGGGTGCAGTGATGCCTGGAGCAACTTGTATTTCTGGTAGTGGATGGGGACAGGCGTTACTGCATTGGTCTGAATCTAAGCTGAATAAATAAATAACAGAATAAGGGCATCCTGAGTGCAGACTTATACACACATTTGGACGATGGATGTGCAGTACCTCCACTGTAGTTGGCCACTGTTAGAACCAGGGCCAGATTTAGGTTTGATGAGGCCCTAAGCTACTGAAGGTAATGGGGCCCTTTGTATGTCCAGCTGTCCTTTGTCAACAACAAATTGTCTCTGTTTTTCGTGTTGAATATATGCTGTATGGTAATTTATGGACCTAATAGGCATCTAAACCCATTTGCACATGTTGCCATGCAACCAATCTATGCAGAATGTAGGCACCCTATATATAGAAATGAGCAAACCAGTGATATTTTAGGGAGCAGGCTAGCAGGCGGGGCCCATTACTTGCATCATAGGAGCCTACACAACACAAAACACTGTTGCTGTATGTAGGTTTTGTTTTATTTGTTTTTTGTCTTATATTTTGGAAATGTACATCCAGTTCCCCCCCTTTTAATTCTTTTGGGGGGCCCCAAGCGAGTGGGCCCCTAAGCTATAGCTTCTTTAGCTTATACGTAAATCCAGCACTGGTTAGAACAGGATGCTGGGTTAGTTGGCCAATGGCCTGATCAGATAGGGCTTTTCTTATACAGTGGTACCTTGGGTTACATACGCTTCAGGTTACATACGCTTCAGGTTACAGACTCCGCTAACCCAGAAATAGTACCTCGGGTTAAGAACTTTACTTCAGGATGAGAACAGAAATCATGCTCCTGCGGTGCGGCAGCAGTGGGAGGCCCCATTAGCTAAAGTGGTGCTTCAGGTTAAGAACAGTTTTAGGTTAAGAACGGACCTCCGGAACGAATTAAGTACTTAACCCGATGTACCACTATATTCCTATGTTTATGTAGCACCCCCTCTTGTTCAGTGCAGAATCTGCAATGCAGGATGCAGCTGATGTATTCCTGACGGATGGTTGTACAGCCCCTCCTTAAAACACACCCAGTGAAGGAGAGCCCACCACCTCCTGCTGTCAAAAAGCTCTGGCTATTAGGAAGCATCTCCTGATGTTTGGCTTAAACCTGCTTCCTTCCCTGCAATTGACAACTACCACTTGGTTCTAGCCCTGCTCTCCAGATCAACAGATAAGAAGCCTGTTCCATCTTTGCATGGCGGTCCTGTAGCTATTTGGAGGCTACTGCCATGTCTCCATCACTACATGGAATCCATTCTCACGATCTCAAAGGGATGATGTTGAGCAAGGAAGAAGTGGCTTCAATCCTGCACGATCCATTTCTGGCAATGGAATTCCTGCGGTCCCCCAGCACACTTTTCATTTGCAAAGCAAGAAGAGGCCTTGTGGATCCATCTAGTCCAGCATTTCTCAAACTTGGATCCCCAGCTGTTGTTGGACTACAGCTCCCACCATCCCTGGCCCTGATAGCTAGGGATTATGGGAGTTGTAGTCCAACAACAGCTGGGGACCCAAGTTTGAGAACTGCTGGGTGTAATGGTGGTGGCTGGTGCTGAGGTCAGGCTGAGGTAGACTGGGCATTGTCCCATTGACCGTAGTGGACCAGCGTCTACTGTTTAACAGTCTGTTTCCCATAGTGGCCAACCAGATACCTCCAAGGAAACCCAAAATCAGGGCATGAGGACAGTAGCCCTCTGCCATTTTGGCTCCCCAGCAGGTGGTATTCAGTGGTTTACAGTCTCTGAACCTGGAGAATGCATATAAATATCATGACTAATAGCCACTGGTAGACCTCTCCTCCTCCATGAATTTGTCTAATTCCCTTTCAGAGCCATATCAGCAGGTGGCCATCACCACCATCCTGTAGCAATGAGTTCCATAAGCTATAGCACAAGTCTGTCCATGTAATGCACAGAAGCAAGTCCCATTGGATTCAGCAGGGCTTATTGTTTGCAGCATTGCAGTCTAACTTTAAGTGTTGTGTGAAGGAGTACTGCATTTTGTTTGTCCTGAACCTCCTATCAGGTAGTTTAATTGGTAGACAGAGGAAGAGAGAGGTACTTACCCTACCTGTAAAGACGTCTTCTTTGCCTTTGAGCAAGCTGTGAAATGAGACAAACTTCCCTTTTCTTTTTTGCTTTTAATTAATTGCTGAATGTCACTTCTGTTCACTCCACAGACCTTGGGGCAAGCATGTCCTGTCTCAAATGCGCAACCTTTACCGTGGATTACTCCTGGAGCCACTGGGGGACACTCTTAATCCTAATCATTTAATCAGATCCTTAGATTTAATTACTGGGAAACAGCACGCTTGGCTAGAGTTTGTGTATTTAAATTTCAAGCACACATGGCAAGGGAGGAATAACACCAAACTGTCTGCATAATCATTTTTCCTTTCCCTTTTCCCCTGTTTTTACAGATCAAGAGTGTGTGAATTGTTTAAATATAGATTCACTTTAAATGATATTTATAGTATTAAGCAAGTCTGGATCAAGGCTTGTTCAGGCAAATTAATGATTGCACCTCCGAATTGTGCCAACGGATGCATTTTGTGAAGGTTAAGCCCCAGCCTTTGCAGGAGCCAGGTTGCACATATCTGGGCATGCCATTACTCTTATGGGGAAAGGGTGCAAACATTCCTTAAAATAAATCTCCAGACCACATAAGCACCTCTGGTTTCTCTTTTTTGTTGTTCGTTATTGTTGTTGAACAAAAGCAGGCGAATCTTAATTTTGGGTCACTTAGTTTTTTTGCCATGATGCGCTAGTTACAGGGATGTTTTGGAGATATAGGAAGTCTAGTGATAGGAAGAGAGAAGGCTGCTGTGTTTCGTGAGGACATGAGACAGGGCCTTCTTGGTGGCTGCTCCCAGATTGTGGAACTCCCTTCCACAAGAGGCTAGGCTGGCCCCCTCTGTGCTTCCCTTTCACTGGTAGACAAAATATTTGTTTGCTCAGACAGGTCTTTAGCCACTAACTGGCTGTTTTGTTAGGGTCTTCTATGGCTGGATATTCTACTTTGTGTGTGTGTGTGTGTGTGTGTGTGTGTGTGCCTTTCAATGTTTTTAAGAGTTTGCAGTGCTCTTTTTTAATACAGTGGTACCTTGGTTTATGACCATAATCCGTTCCGGAGGTCCGTTCGTAAACCAAAAGAGGTCATCAATGGGGTCTTCCAAAAAACAGGTCGTAATCCAAAAAAAAAAATCACAAACTGGGATGTGCGCTTCCGGGTTTGAATTGGTCGTAATCCAAAATGGTCGTAAACTAGGCTGTTTGCAAACCAAGGTACCACTGTATGGTTACTTACTAGTTTTTTTAAAAAAGAAATATTGACACTTGTTGTGTGTTTTAAAACACTGATTGTATTTGTTTGAATTCATGCTGTGTCCTCCCACTGGAAGAAATGTAAATCAGACAAATAAATTTGGTTGGCAACCGAGGGAATAGAATGCTGGAATAGATGGATGGGCCTTTTGTGAGACTCAGCTCAGCTCCTCTTATAGTCTTGGGGAACGGGAGACATCTTCTCAGGATGAAGTCCCAAACACACACTGTTGGAAATGAGTGTCTGTGGAATGAAAAAAGACTCAACTCTTGAGACTGAAATTAGATGTGGCGGCAACTGACTAATGTGGTTCAGCCTGGTTCTGTCTTATATTTGGTCCCAAGGTATGGTCTGATGACCTGTCAGTCCCACAACCTTGCTGAAGCTAAGCAGGTCTGGTCTGATGGGTGATACTTGGAAACCAAATGTGTGTTGGCTTGGATTCCAATACAGTGTGTTTCTTTGTGTGTGCAAGGTTCCATTGTAAGAGCAAACGGGACAATATCTAAGGTAGGCCAGGGATTTGGATTGTATCTCCAGGTTGTATAAAGCAGGCACTCCCAAACTTGGCCCTCCACATGTTTTAGGACTACAACTCCCATCATCCCTAGCTAAACAGGACTAGCGGTCAGGGATGATGGGAATTGTAGTCCCAAAACATCTGGAGGGCCAAGTTTGGGCATGCCTGTTATAAAACAAGTGAGGGGAACCTTTTGCCCTTTTGCCCCCATATGAACCAGCCCAGACTCTGTAACCTTCAGCAGAGCCCCTTTTCCATGTGCCCCCCGAGGGAGGGACAGAGGGTGGCCACACACAAAATGACTTTTTAAGTGGTGCTCCATCCCATTTCTGGAATGCTTTCATCCGGAAGATGTACCTGGTACCATCATTGTCCATCTTTAGGCACCAAGACTTATTTTGCTTAGGCCTTTGGTAATTAAGTTGTGTCCTATCGTAGTGGTCATATTTTAGTATACTTATTAAAATGTCCTTATAAAATGTATTTTGTAGTGCTCATTGTTTTAATTTTTTTCTGGTTTTAAAACATTTTTAGGTGCTGTGTTTTGTCAAATAGCTTTTAGCCCTTTTTTTGTATGAGCAACTGATAAATGCAATAAATGATAATTATACATTGCATATAATTGCAATGGTTAATATTTACATTGCATTATATTTAAATACTCCACCTTTGCTCTGCAAAGCTTAAGTCATTATACATGGTTCTTTCCCACTTGCCCCATTTATCCTCACAACAATCTTGTTAGGTAGGCTAGCCTGGAAGATGGTAGCTGGACCATTGGTCATGGTGGCTGAGGCTGATGGGAACTGGAGTCCAGCCACATCTGCAGTTCTGCAGGCTCTCTATTTCTGTACACAGGAGGTCCTCCTGTGTAACTGCAGCTCCCATCATCTATGACCATTGGCCATGGTGACGGGGACTCATGGGAACCGGAGTCCAGCACCATCTGGAGAGTCATGGATTTCCTATGCCTTCTTAAACCTCTAAATCACACTGATATGGGTGCAGGACCAGCGTTGAACCTGAGTAAACCTGCATCCAGCTTGAACCTGAGTAAACATGTTTGGAATCAGGCTGAAAGATGGACACGTTGATAAAAAATTAACAGAACCTTTCATCCAAGGTGAAAGGCAGCATGGAATGAAAATGTTCATCTTCTCCCCAGGGGCAGGTGCTGTTCACAGATGGGTTTTAACCTCTTAATAGGGTGGCGATGCATTCATACAAAGAGATTCCAGAGGCAAGCAGGCTGCTGCAGAACTTGGAACCAAATACAGTTAAAGGGAAAATGAGTCTGAGAAAGCTTCAGGATCACTGCTGCAAATCAAATCCCCAGGTCTTTAAAAGCAGTCAAAAGCTATTTTAAAAAAGCTGACCTGCTAGATTTCTTTAAAAGCAAACTATTTGGGACAGGTAGTGTTGAGATCTGCCGGAAATTGCCACATGCAGTCTTGATGTAAGTTACCTATATCCTCAGTGTAAAAAACACATTTACGGTGAAGTCTGCTCCATAGAAATCAAAGGCTTTGTGTTCTGTTTCATTGCAAATGAATGTGCTTGCCAATTTCTTTCATATTATATATATATATATATATATATATATATATATATGCCACACAGAGGAAGGAAGGAATAAAACGCATAGTGATGTTTTTTTAATTAAAAAGAAGGCAGCCATTCATCGGTAAGCACAGAATCAGAACGTCTAATTAAATGAAGATACCACACACATACTCTGCAGAGGGTCTTGGGTTCAATCCCCAGTATTTCTAATTAAAAGGAGCAAGCTCCCTGAGACCTTAGGGGCCACTGCCAGTCAGAGTATGTAACACCCAGTTAGATGAATAAAATTGTCAGAACTGGTACAAGGCAGCTTCCTATATTTCTAATCCTGACCCAGACAGCCTACAGTATGCGATGTTTGCTTTAGGGACTCGGGCAAGGAATATATTTTCAGCACCTGTGGCATGACACCCAATAATCTCCAGAGGAGATTGCAGTAAATGCTGCTGTCCACCAGAAGCTGCTCTCTGGGTGAGACTGAGACATTGTGTCAGCTTCCTGGCAGGTGGGTTGCTGTTGCTTACCCAGGAGGGACGGAGGCAAGGCAGTGGAGAGGTTGCTACAGTGCAAACGCACTTGCAGGAGTGCTAGATTGGCTCTGCTGTTGTGTTTGCACTGCATCAACCTCCCCACTGACTCACCCACCCCTCTTCTGGGGAGCTAGCATGGTGCCCCTGCCCCACTCAACAAGGCTATTCTGTGATACCGGCTATCTATTTTCAGATAGACATGTGGAACTCACAACAAAATATTACACTTTACAGCATGGGTAGGCAAATTAAGGCCCGGGGCCCGGATCTGGCCCAGTCGCCTTCTAAATCCGGCCTGCGGATGGTCTGGGAATCAGCATGTTTTTACATGAATAGAATGTGTCCTTTTATTTAAAATGCATCTCTGGGTTATTTGTGGGGCATAGGACTTCGTTCATTCCCCCCCCCAAAAAAATAGTGTGGCCCCCCACAAGGTATGAGGGAGAGTGAACCGGACCCCTGCTGAACAAGTTTGCTGACCCCTGCTTTACAGTACAGTGGTATCTCTGGTTACGTACTTAATTCATTCTGGAGGTCCGTTCTTAACCTGAAAATGTTCTTAACCTGAGGTACCACTTTAGCTAATGGGGCCTCCCGCTGCTGCTGCGCCGTCGCTGTGCGATTTTGGTTCTCATCCTGAAGCAAAGTTCTTAACCCGAGGTACTATTTCTGGGTTAGCGGAGTCTGTAACTTGAAGCGTATGTAACCGGAAGCGTATGTAACCTGAGGTACTACTGTATTGGTCACCCAGCCATGCTTTTTTCAAGGTTACTCCATTCCATTCCTATTCCTGCCCAATCTCCCAGTCAGTTAGCATTCCATGCCTACTGAGCATGCTCAGTCCTTACTGGGCTTCCATAGAGCTTTCCTTTCCCTAAATATTTGTTATACTTTCGTTGTATGGGTTGGCTTCCCCACCTAAAAATTTGTTGTACTTCTGCAAATCTTGGGGTTCTCCCAAGACTGCTGATACCTCCCTCTTGTGTGTGGGTGATGCTGTTTTGGCTTCATAAGCAACAGTCCTCACAGCTTGATAGGTTCAGCACAGTTTCTTAACCAAACTGGAATAAGTGGGTTTTCACAGTCCCTTTAAAATACAGCACTTCTTCTTGTTGTTAATCCTGTTATTAATTTATATAAATCTTATTGCCGGAAAAAGGCTTCTTAAACAGTGTTCAAGTACAAAAAGCAATACCACAAGCATTAAAGTATAAATATCCACAATCAAAATACACAATAAAATGATCCCATTCAAACTTTAAAATACAGGGGGCACCACTGAAAAGGCGCTTTCTCCTGTCACACATGTCATGAAGATCCATAAAATAGATATATTTTATGTTTTAATTTTAGACGCTTAATGTTTCAGGAAAAACTTTCTACACAGGGATGAAGAAAGCATGCTTCTTAGTTTGCTTTCAGAGCTCTTGAGTTACTTTTATGCAAAATTGATTGATTGATTGATTGATTGATTGAAACCAGGTAAAACCTGTGCAATGAATCAGCTTCTTTATTTGAGTGACCTCCCTGCAATTTACATGGGTAACCTTGTATCCTTTGGGATATGGCTGTAGGTACCAGCGCCTTCAAATCGCCGGATGAATTTAAAGTCTCCCTCCCCCTCCGCACCAACTACTTGTATGGGAAGATCAAGAAGACATTGCCTGAGCTGTATGCCTTCACTGTGTGCTTGTGGCTGAAGTCGAGTGCCTCTCCGGGAATAGGGACACCCTTCTCCTACGCTGTCCCTGGGCAAGCTAATGAAGTGGTGCTGATCGAGTGGGGGAACAACCCCATTGAGCTGCTCATTAATGACAAGGTGAGGAAAGACTTGCCTTCCAGTGAGCCAGTGTGGTGTAGTGGTTGAGAGCGGTGGACTCGTAATCTGGTGAACCAGGTTCGATTCCCCGCTCCTCCGCATGCAGCTGCTGGGTGACCTTGGGCTAGTCACACTTCTTTGAAGTCTCTCAGCCTCACTCACCACACAGAGTGTTTGTTGTGGGGGAGGAAGGGAAAGAAAGCTGCTTTGAGACTCCTTAGGGTAGTGATAAAGCGGAATATGAAATCCAAACTCCTCTTCTTCTTCCTTTTGAGAATCCCGTTTCTTTCCATCAGCCAAGGCAGGAAAAAAAAAAGAATTCCCGCTGTGCAATAGTGAAATGTTCGAGGATTAAGCTCTGCTGCACTCTAAGATGTAGCAGAGTTTTATCCTGCCCTGCTAAAATAGTAGGGCAATTCTTCATTCTGTCTGGAGGGTCAATGCATTTGAGCCCCACTCTTGTTAAAACCTAAACATTAGGAAGAACTTCCTGACAGTAAGAGCTGTTCGACAGTGGAATTTGCTGCCGAGGAGAGTGGTGGAGTCTCCTTCTTTGGAAGTCTTTAAGCAGAGGCTTGACAACCATATGTCAGGAGTGCTCTGATGGTGTTTCCTGCTTGGCAGGGGGTTGGACTCGATGGCCCTTGTGGTCTCTTCCAACTCTATGATTCTATGAAAACCAAAAACAGGCATATGAAGTGTCTTGGCACTTGGCCCCTGGGACGGCAATTCTGTGCACACCTGCTCCCTAGCAAGTCCCATTGAACTGAATGGGACTTGGTTCCAAGTAGAGATGAGCCAACCGCTTTCTCGTTTTTTACCCAATCTTAAGTTCTCCACACCTTTACATCAGTTTGCATAAAATAAAAATCCTCATGGAAATTCATTAGCATTTTAGTGCAAATATCTCCTGATAAGAACATTATTTGTATGCAATTTTGCCTAATGCACACATTTATGCAAAGCAAATTCTGCTAATATTTTTGCACGTTATTTTCACCAATGTACTTTGGGTACCCATTACTTGTCTGCAGAACTGCACTGCAAAGAAAGGTGAATTTTGAAAGATGGCTGTGTTTCATTCTGCATATTGTTTTGCAAAGTGAAGATTGGGGAGGCCGCATGACGTTTACTTGCTTGCAAAGGGAAGGATGAGGCTCCCAGACTTGCACTGCTGCAAGTTCGCCCAGTTGATTGATCAGGTTGTAAAGATGGAGTTCTTGAATTACTTTGCCGGTAGAAGCTCCTTTCACCAGAATGCAGCTTGTTGGCTTGGCCGCTTTAAAATTAGACTGTAAGTCACGTAACAATTAATCAAGTCAGCAACTGACCTATTACAAATGTGGTCAAAATAAGGCTCTGTCAGAAGGAGAAATGTGTTTGTGTGTAGCTGGGGAGGGGAGGGGAAAAGGCCTGTTGTTCTGTGCAGATGCATTGTGGTAGTCTCATAAACATCGAATCCCTGGGAGCGTTATAAGAGGTTGCTAAGAGACATGTGCATCATTCGGAATTTGCCACAGTTCATAATATATGCACACAGGGCTTCATCAGCACCCAGGTACAAAAATCAATTCTACTAGGCAATTCTAAAGGAAAATGTATTTAAGCCTGTTCAGAGGATATTGCTGTTACCACTGGGGAGCTACAATGATTCCAGATAGATAGAAGGAATCGTAGAATCGTTGGAAGGGACCCCAAGCGTCATCTAGTCGACCCCCCTGCAATGCAAGAATCTCAGCTAAAGTATCCACGACCGATGGCCATCCAACCTCTGCTTAAAAATCTCTGAGGAAGCAGAGTCCAAAACCTCCCAGGGAAGTCTGTTCCACTAGCAAACAGCTCTTACTGCCAGAAAGGTCTTCCTGACGTTTGGTTGGAATCTCCAACTAAATACAGTGGTACCTCAGGTTAAGAACTTAATTCGTTCTGGAGGTCCGTTCTTAACCTGAAACTGTTCTTAACCTGAGGCACCACTTCAGCTAATGGGGCCTCCCGCCACTGTGCCGCCCCCACCACCACGCCGCCCCCACCACCGTTTCTGTTCTCATCCTGAAGCAAAGTTCTTAACATGAGGTACTATTTCTGGTTTAGCGAAGTCTGTAACCTGAAGCGTCTGTAACCCAAGGTACCACTGTATTTACGGAACCAAGGACAAGAGTTTTTGTGACAGACTGTATGTCAGGCCTTTTCGCTTTCCAACACAAAATAGCTGAGAAGATTACAGTGGTACCTCCGGTTACAGACACTTCAGGTTACACAAGCTTCAGGTTACAGACTCCGCTAACCCAGAAATAGTACTTCGGGTTAAGAACTTTGCTTCAGGATGAGAACAGAAATCGCGTGGTGGTGGCTGCAGCAGGAGGCCCCATTAGCTAAAGTGGTACCTCAGGTTAAGAACAGTTTCAGGTTAAGAATGGACCTCCAGAACGAATTAAGTTCTTAACCTGAGGTACCACTGTATTTCTTTATCAGACCAACAGCTCATCTAGTCTAGCATTGTGTTCCCACTGCAGCCAGTAGATGCCTATGGGAAACCTACAAGCGGGATTGACCACAACAGCACTCCCATCCACTCATGATCCCCAGCATTCAGTGGCCTAGGAATCTGCGTTACACTTCGTCAGACCATTGGCCTATCTAGCTCAGTATTGCCTACACAGACTGGCAGCAGCTCTCCAGGGTTTCAGGTGGGGCAATTCCCCCAGCCCTACCCGGAGAAGCCATTAGGGATTGAACCTGGGACCTTCTGCCAATGCTCTGCCACTGAGCTGTGGCTTTTCTGCTTCTGATACTGCAAGTAGCGCATAGCCAACATGACCAGTAGCTATGGCAGACTTCTCTATGAATGTGGCTAATTCCCCTTTAAAGCTTTCCTAGTTGGTGCCCCTTGGCTGCAGCTTTTGCGGGAGAATTCCATAGCTGGGCTATGTGCTGTGTGAAGAAGCACTTTATTTTCCCTGCCCCGAATCTTCCAACACTCAGCTTTATGGGATGACCCCGATCAGTATTGATCCAGAGCAGAACTCCAATGTATGGTTAGCAGAGTAAAAACTTAAAACACATTGCAGGATCCAGCAGAGCTTTACTGCTACTGAAAGCAAAGGAGTATAATGGTCACAAATCCCATACATTCAGGACTGGCACTGTCCATAAGAAATCCAGTTGCAGCAGATTTAACTTAAACTTACTTACAATAAGTCTAAATCTTAACACTAAGCATACAGTCATACCTCATGTTACGTCCGCTTCATGTTACGTTCTTTCAGGTTACATCCCGCGGCGACCCGGAAGTACTGGAAAGGGTTACTTCCGGGTTTCGCCGCTTGCGCATGTGCAGAAGCGCAAAATGACGTCACACGCATGCGCAGAAGCAGCGAATCGCAACCCGCGCGTGTGCAGACGCGCCGCTGTGGGTTGCGCTCTTTTCATGTTGCGATCGGGCCTCCGGAACAGATCCTGTTCACAACCAGAGGTACCACTGTACTATGTACAGAACACCACACCAGAAGGAAAAGAGACAGAAAGAGAACGTGAAAGCCCGGCTCCTTCTGGCCTTACTTTTATAGTCAGCATGACCTTGACAAAAAGAGATAAAACAACCAGTTTAAACCAGCTGTACTCAGCTTCTCCAAAGGAATAATGCAAACATTATGAACCTTCTGCTTGTTTCTTTCACACAGAGAAGCTTGCAGAACCCTTTTGAATTAATTAGAACAGGAAAGACCTCTACGTGTCGGATCAATACTTTCTGCACAAAGAAATGCAAACTGACGGCAGGATTGTTGGGGAGGATGCACCTCCTTCCGCCCCCCCAGCCCCCCCATTGAGAACTCTGCAGTGTGTTAGTGTCCAATCTTCACAACTCTTCTCCTTTAGTATTTGGGTTTCCTGAGGACTAGGCTCTTGCCGCTCAGCAAACAGGTCCAATGGATGCTGTTACACTTTGGGATAAGCAGGGCAGAAGGCAGGGAAGCCAGCAACAGGAGGTGACAGAGTCAATGACTCATTCTAGTTTTGTCCTCATCTTCCTCCCTGCTGAATTCTACAGTTCAGCTTGATCCTGCCGCTTAGCATCTGTCTCTCCTCGCTGATTGGACACATGTAGGATTTGCCAAGCTTCGCCATAAAATACGAACCGAGATTCCAGTATAATCCGCAGCAAAATCCTGTTGGCTGTAAAATGGGAAAGTCCAGAGATTGCAAGCCATGTTCCTGCCCTAGCCAACCTTACCGTCTGTCCTTTGTGGAGTGCTTCAGCCACTGACTGGCTCAGGATCAGTGTGGTCTGTGCCAATGGCGGCTGGTGCCCATTGGGACTCCCAGGGAGGAAGGCAAAGAGGCCAATGGTGGGTAGAGTCAGTGACTGGCAGAACCAATTCATTCTAGTTTGTCCCCATCTTCCTCCTCACTTCTACAAGGGGCAATGCTGAGACTAAAGAGGAGGGAGCTGACAGGCAGGGCCTCCGCTTGGATTGGGTGCAGGTGAGAAGGCAGGCAAGCGAGGATTGGCTGAAGACAGGCTGAGGTTGGTGATGCAACATGCCATTCACCCACACAGACCAGCCTCCCCTGGACAGGCCTGCACCCTTTGGGCGTAACACTCCGGACATCCACAATAACCTTTATTATCTTCAACAGGTCGCCCAGCTCCCGCTCTTCATTAGCGATGGAAAATGGCACCACATCTGTGTGACGTGGACCACGAGGGACGGAATGTGGGAAGCTTTCCAGGATGGAGAGAAGCTTGGGACGGGGGATAATTTAGCTCCTTGGCACCCCATTAAGCCAGGAGGGGTTCTGATCCTTGGTCAGGAACAGGTAAGCCATGCAAGGTGCTTATTTCCCTCCTTTTCCTCCTTCCAAGAAATTAAAACAACAGGAAATTGTCATCTCCATTCCTTTCCCAGAGCTATAGTTCCCAGAGTATTTCAACAATCAATCAGTCTTCAAAAGGGTATTTGAGAGTTTTAGCTCTGTGAGGGGAATAGAAGGCCTCATAACAACTCTCATCGCCCTTAAGAAACTACAGTTCCCAGAATCCTTTGGGAGAAGCCATGATTGTTTAAAGTGGTATGATATGGTTTGAACGTGACCTGAGAGGTACCTGCAGATATCCTTTTTTATTGTGCATTCATGGAGTTGTATCCAATATTAGTCTTGCTCAGTGTAGATTAATTGAAACCAATGGGCATGGCTAATTTAGACCTATTGGTTTTCAATGGGTTTACTCTGAGTAAAGTATCATTGGGTGCAACCCATGATGGTATTGGGGTGGTTATACACAATCTCACTTTCAAAATTCTTTGCACCTATAAAAGCTTTGGGGCAGACACACTGCTTCATCACCCATCAGTGTGTGTCCTGCAACTTCCTGCTGGAATCCAGTAACTTTTTATACCACAAATGCCCCGGGGTGTGTTTTGGTTCTGCTTTTGTTGCTCTGTAGTGCAAGAGTGCCCTTCTGTGTGGCAATAATGCAGAAGCATTGCATGATAACGAATAAAGCAGAATGGTGTGACAGGTATAAATCGTAGAACTGTAGAGCTGGAAGGTACCCTGAGGATCATCTAGTCCAACCCCCTGCAATGCAGGAATATGCAGCTGTCCTATATGGGGATCGAACCTGCAACCTTGCCATTATCAGCACCAAGTTCTAACCAACTGAGCTATCCAGGCAGTAATGCACTGTTATTGCTTTAATGACATGTTGCAGAAGACTGCACCTGTCTTTTAAAAAACACAGGAGTTCAACTAAGTCCTATGCACAAAAAGTGTTTTAAAATACAGGTTCTGCCCAAAATCTTGCAAGCCAAACTATGGGAGAGACCAATATAGAAGGGGAAAGAAACATCCCGAAAGGGTGTGATTTTCATCTGCAGAAAGTCAGAGGGTAGGTGGGGAAGGGAGGGAGGAAGAACATGTAGGGAGCTGCCCCATACTGTGTCAGATCATTGGGCCCTCTAGCTCAGAATTGTCTACACTGACTGGCAGCAGCTCTCTGCCTTCCCAACCTGACCTAGAGATGTCAGTGATTGAAACAGGGACTTCCTGCATGCAAAGGCAGATGCCGTACCATTGATCTGTGGCCCTGGAGACTCTCCTTCCTCTTTTCGTGCTGGTTATCTTTCTATAGTCTAGCATCTTGCTTCCCACACTTGTCAGGCAAATGTTTCTGGGCATCCCATAAGCAGTGCACAACAGCGGTATCCCTTTGTGACGTTGCTGCCCAGCAACTGCAACTCATTTGCATGCTGCCTCCGAACACAAAGGAACATGATCCGTCTTGTTATTTCTGGCCTGCTTTTTGAAGCCCATACCCTGGGGCAGCTTACAACAAATCAATAAAACACCACATTAAAATTTGAAATTCAAAAGCATCTCCCGAGCTTTAAAATAGCGGCAGTAGAGAAAAGTTATTAAAACACTGCACCATGGTTCATTCAACAAGGTGTTTGGGGCCTGCCTGAAGGCCAATGAGGAGGGACCAAACCTGGGGATGGTATTCTAGGAATGCAAGGCCACCACAGGAAAGGCCCTCTTCTTCATCTTCTACAGGGAAAATCCATAGCTCATGGGTAGAGCCATCTGCATTGTATGCAGAAAGTTGCCGGTTCAAATCCCTAGTGTCACCAGGAAGAGACCCCTGTCTGAAATCCCAGGGAACAGCTGCCAGTCAGTGTAGGCAGTATGGGCTCAGTATAAGGCAGCTTCCCATGTTTCTGGGGTTAATTCTCCTCTACCTCTTCCCCTCCTCCTGCTAATGTATTATAACATAAAAAACCTAACACATCTCTGTGTGGCCATACCGTATTTCTTTATTACGTGTGTATTTTACCTTTCCACCAGGAAGGTGTCATGGTTACAAAGCAATATTTTACCCAACGTGGGGCTTGAACCCACAACCCTGATATTAAGAGTCTCATGCTCTACTGACTGAGCTATGGAGGGCCTCACATATGAGTACATCAGTCTCAGTATGTTGCAGATGGCAACATCACACATGCGGCGCACAAATAAAAGATTCATGGTTGTAGCTGAACACAGTGAATAAACCATCCTGCACATTCCTGAGCTCACCATCCCTTGCAAGGGTGCTGATTCCATTGTAGTAATGAAGCTCATTGCATCACTATTCAACTCAATAGAGGGGCACTTCTACATAGGAAAATCTGCAATAAACAATTTATGTTTATTGGGGTGCAGTCCCCCTCCAAAAGGCTGTGTTGCATTCTTAGGGTCCCTTAGGGTCCCTTTCAGCTCTGCAATTCTATGATTCTACGTGTGACCTAAGGATCAACTGGAGGAGATATTAGAAGTAAGAAACCAGAGTCCCTCAAGATGTTGCTGGACTACAACTCCCATCATCCTTGACCATACTAGCTGATGGGAGTTGGAGTCCAACAATACATGGAAGGCCACAGGTCCCCCCACTCTTGGTATTTAGGATTTGCATGCAGATGGCCCTAAATTCAATTCCTAGCATCTCCAAGTAAGTCTGAGAAAGGCTCCTGCAGTTCTTCCACCACCAGTCAAATAGTCCATACTGATCTAGATGCACCAGTGGCTTGACATGACACGGAACAGCTTCCTAATCGAGAAAACCAGGCCCGCAGCTTTCTGCCTACGCAGAAGTAAGCTGCACTGGTTTCTTTTTCCCCTCATTTTTGCAAACGTAAAGATACTGATTTGGCCATCTCTTTAAAGGACGGTCTTGAACTAATCCAAGCTTTGGTTTTCATTCACTTTAAGGACACTGTTGGAGGAAGGTTTGATGCAACTCAAGCTTTCGTTGGGGAGATGAGCCAGTTCAATATATGGGACAGAGTCTTGAAGCCTGAAGACATCATGAATATTGCTAACTGCTCCACCAACATGCCGGGCAACATCATCCCCTGGGTTGACAACAATGTGGATGTGTTTGGAGGTGCAGCGAAATGGCCCGTAGAGACGTGCGAAGAGCGTTTGCTCGATTTATAGCCATGACCATAACCCATTGAAGTGCCCCGTTTTTCTTAAGACAATCTCTCGTGAGGTCTGACGCTCTGATGCCCCTATCCGCTTCCTTTCATCAGCGTTAATTTTAATTACCCCTTAGTAAACTCACTGCCAGGGTACCAATGAGAGGCACAGTTCTCCACAAGTGCTTGCATCAGCCTCCCTTAATTAAACGGGAGGTGGCGTACAAGACAAGGGTTCCCAAACTGGTCTGCAGGCCACCAGTGGTCCATGAGCTTCATTCAGGTGGTCCATGACATGTCTGCAATAACACCATTAAAAATCACACAGCATCTAGCTCAGTGCACTGCAATTGCTAGAGCAGGCAGAAAAATCCTTAAGTGGTTCACCAGGACCCTCAGCAATTTTCAGATGGTCCATTGGGGGAGGGAGAAGTTTGGGAAGCACCTGTACACTGTTATGCCCTCAACCTGTCCATCTTTGATTCTGCTCAGCGGAGCTCCCGCAGAAGAGGTTCGTGGCCAATTCTGTCTGTTACCTGCATGGGTTCCTGGCACGAATTTCCAAAACCATCAAGCTCTCAGACTTGAGCAGTAGATAGTGCCATGGATCCACGTCCAAAGCTTACTTCTGCCCCTCTGGCAGAAACCCCATGTCCCGTGCAAATACTTTGTCCCTGCTTAATGACAGAATGCGTCCCCTCCTAACAGCACATGGTGTCAAATAAAGCACAAACGTTGTAGGGGTTAAGTGTAAGGACTTACATGCAATTTAGTCATTGCAATAGATTCATGCTGTTTCCCACTGAACCTGTAATGCCCAGCCCTGTGTTTACAGCTAAATGGAGGAATTGGGAGCACTTGTTGGGCTGAAGTGAAGAATGGGAAAGGGGAGGTTCCTTAAAGCAGGGGTGAATTACTTCCTGTGGCCCTCTAGGTTTCTCTAAATGGCCCTATGGAAATAGCACAAGGCCCTGTCTTTCCTTTTTCGTGCCCACTTCAGGCTGTAGGCAGAGTCCTAAATTTCTGGAGGATCCCGTCGTGTGAGAATGAAACTGTGTCATGGAGAAAAAGGCTATCAATGGCTACTAGCCACAATGGCTGTATTGTCCACCACTGTCATAGATGCAGGATGCCTCCGAATGTCGGTCGTTGGGGGACCCCAAATGCGGGGAGAGAGGTTGCACTCAGGTCCTATTTTGAGGCTTCTTGTAATCTGGTTTGCCACCGTGGGAAGAGGATGCTGGACTAGATGGGCCAGTGGCTCTGCTTATGCTAATAGAAATCCATCTTATCAGGATTATGGGTTTTTGTTGATCTCCCTTTCACTTTAGATTTCCACATGCAAATTGTTGTTGGTTTTTTTTAAACACTAGCAGTATTCAAACATGTGGCATATGCAGCCTGCAGTCTGAAGTGGTCTGTAGCACAAGGGCAATATGATATTCTGTTTCTGCACTTCTGAATCATCTCAAGGAAAGGGGTAAAATTAAATGTGTCTATTGCCCTGGTTTAATGGAACTGGGACTGGGACTTTGATGCATAAGCTGCCCTGTCAACAGGTTTCCCTGTTCTTTTCCAATGGAAGAAGCAGACCTGTGAGCTCATCCTACCTTTACGCCAGGTGTCCTCCTTTGTGACTTGGGATGGGGGAAGAGATTTGATTCCATTTGCATTTAAAGGGGAGCCAAGCTAATTCACACTTTCAGAAACGATCTACAAATTGAAACACAGCCGTCCTTTGAAATCCACTCTTCTCTGAATTTTGCAGTGAAATTCTCCAGCCAAGTACAAAAATGCATTTGCTAGGGTAAAGTATGCATAAAAATATCCATATCACTGAAAACAATATTTAAATGCATTATATTAGGGGGGATTGTTTTGCAAAAACATGTCTGTTGCACATAGTTGCATGTAAACATGTATATTAAGAGGAATGTGGTGGATTTTCATGAGGACTTTTTTAAAAAATGCAAAGTGCTGTGGAAAATATGGATAACTTTAAGATCGGAAGTGAGAGGCTGTGAGAGAACCAGAATTCTGCAGCAGTTCGTGAAATTGTGTGTGTGGTTTTTTAAATGCTCGTGAAAATTCATCAGCATTTTAGTGCAAAATTCTCCCAATAATCACATTTTTGTATGCAGTTTTGATTAATGTGCACATTTTTTGCAAGCAATTCCTCCTAATAAAATGCATTTTGAATGTATTTGTTTTTGTGCACACTTTTCCCTAATATATGCATTTTTGTAAACGTTGGTTGGAGAACCCTCTTGCATCATTCGAATAGCTGCAAATTTCAAAGGCCGGCTAGGTTTGAGTTATATTGTTTGGGAAGTGCGAATTTAATAGATTTGGCTTCAGATGAAAACTGAATTGGATTTCTCCACCATCCCTGGTTAGAAGTAAATCCAAATATGGCTATGACAGGTTGTGAATCTTGAGGCACATTGCAGTCCTCCTTTCACGCTTCCCCTTCAGAGCATATCATTTGCAGTTGTTCTAAAGTCCTTAGGCAATAGTTAGGATCTCTAAGTAAACCCATCACAGAGAGAGCCCAAAGCTTTGCTAGTAGGATCCTGACCTCCCCTTTCCTCAGACTCCAGCCCCTGTGTTTTGGTAGCCCTTCCTTTAAATAAAAAAAGCACTTTTTAAACGCTATGGTAACTTTGTCTTAATATTGCATCATTCAGACCCTTAAAAAGCAAAAGATATGCACTATTTACATTGCAAAAAGTGTTGCTGTACAGCAACACCTTTCTTGGTTTTGTTCTTGTGTGTGTTTGTGATGTGGTACAATGTATAGGAGTCAGTTTTGCGGCATGCCATTTCACTCCAGCCTCGCAGGAAAGTGTTAGCAGCACCATCTACCCTGGATCTACTCCTGAGTAAGCCCCTCTGAAATGAACCTTGGAAGGTGGTGGACTCTCCTTCCTTGGAGGTTTTTAAGCAGAGGCTGGATGGACATCTTCAAGGATGCTGCAGCAGAGGATTTTGTGCATCGGACAGGGGGTTGGATAAGATTACTTTTGAGGGTCCCTCCCCCCCCCCCCGAATCTCCGATTTTGTGAATGGGAGTTGTGCCAAGAACTTGGTGGTGCCCTTCCGCCCATTCATTTCAGTGGAGGCTTGTGCAGGACAGCTGTTCAAATGGATTGTGCCATGTGTTTTTATTTGTTCATTTTATCTGACCAAATTTATATACTGCTTGATTGTAAATAGGACTTTACGAAAAACAAAACATAAAAGTTGTCACTTTAGCAATTTTGATGGCGCTCAGTTTAGCCAGCAAGGGATCTGACCAAGGTGTCTCTCTCTCTCTCTCTCTCTCTCTCTCTCTCTCTCTCTCTCTCTCTTTCTTTCTTGTATCCACTACTAGTCCTAGGCTGTGTACACACTATACAGTACCTTTAAAGCTCATTCAAAGCACATTTCTCACTACCGCAAAGAATTCTGGGTGCTGTAGTTTGTTAAGGGTTGCTGGGAATCGTAACACTCTGAAGGATAAACTACATTGCCCAGAATTCTTTGAGGGGATAAATGTGTGTATGCAGCCCTACACGGTATAGACCTGTTGAAAACAATGGATGTGACAAACCCAGGCTCATTAATTTTAATGGGTGTAACCCTGTCTTCCTTTCCTCCAGGGCAGTTCAGTTGTTGCTGGGGCTAAGGTTTTCTGATTGTATTCACGTCCTTCGTTGGCTGATGAATGTACTGGAAGTCATTTACGTGGGTATTTGCTGGGTATTTACGTGGAAGTGAACCCAGGCCTTCCTTCGTTCCTGATCCGTCACGCTCGCATCACAGAGTAGCATGCACAGAGATTCTGAACAGGGTTGCCAACTGACCGGAAGAAAGTGATCTGGGCTGCTCTTGTGCCTTGCACAGCAGCTTGCACTGCATAAGGGGAAGCTTTTCGCAGCATGGGTCTGGCTGTTAATCAGAAGGTTGGTGGTTTGAACCCACCCAGGGATGGTTGTGAACAGGATTCCTGCATCGCAGGGGGTCAGACTAGATGACCCTCGGGGGTCCCATCAAACTCTTTGAGTGTGTGACCGTCTCTACTAAGGCCTCCATGTCAAACTGCTGTTGGGGGTGCTTCTGCAGAGAGCTTGTCTGGAAACCCTGCCAGGTTTTTTTTGGACCAAGTGCATGTGAGTTGGAATTCCCACTGGGTGACATGGGGGAAATCCCACCTCTCATGCCCATTGCTCCCTTAATTCTCTGCTTTGGGGCTTCCCAAAGGCATCCAGCTAGGCTCTTGGGGAAGCAGCGTGTGCCGGATTCCTTGGACCCTTGTTCCGAGTCAGCAGAGCTCTTCCTGTGTCCTGAACAGTTGGCAACCTTATTCCTGAGGCTAAGTTCCCAGAGATTTTGCTTGCCCATTTATTAGCCCCAAGACACCTTGATTCAATTGATAGGGGAGGCCTCTGGCTGTTGGGAAACCATGTGTCCTACCTTTACAGAGGGTGGTCCTCTGTTTGAAGGCATCTTCTATTTGAAGGTCTGTCTGGTCCAAAGATAAAAAGCCTAAGAGAGAAGAACAGGAGGGATTTTGAAGTTGGCCATCCTCAGTTAGCACAGAGGGAGCAGATGTCTTAACCCCACCATGTTGAGATGTATTATATTTTTATTCAGATTATAGTTAATTATTTCTAAATTCTGTCTGGACACTGGAATTAACTTATGCAAATATGTGTCCTCCTTGTCCTCTTTTTTTTGGCGATACCCTACACCTCAGTAAGGACCCTTGATCTTTATTAGGTACTGACTCTTAGCCATACTTAACCTTCTGGGTATTTTTTTATTTGTTTATTTCCTTTTAAAATAGCTACCCAAGAGAATTCCCAAAGGGGATTGTACTTTTGCTTTGCCTTTCATAAGCATGTGCCAAAGTTAAGGATGTTGTTTTAGTCCCCACCCACCCCCGCACTTGCAAAGAAACATTGGCTCTTCACCGAGCACTTCACCTGCAAGTCCCATTGAAATGAATGGGCACAGTAGTGCTTCAGTAGATGCCGCCCATTCATTCCAATGGGAGTTGTGCAGGAGGACTTCCTGTCTGCAGGGATGGGGAGCCTGCTGTCCTCTATATGCTGTTGGACTCCCAGTTCCCATCAGTCCCAGCCAACGTGGCCAAGGGATTATGGGAGCTGTAGTTCAACAAAAACCCGAAGGGCCATAGGTTCCATATCCCTCTTGGACAATGTTTATTATTTTCTTTATCTCTCCCAATTAAAAAACTGTCTGTTATTATTATTATTTTTAAAGAAATATCTCCTGTGATGGTCCTTTGTGCTTTACAAAAAATAAAAATCAGCTGTGCTGCTTTTTAGTTCTTGTTCGCTATCATGATATCTGTAAGCACTGAACTGTCTTTAAATGTGTGTGGTTTTTTTTAAGAAAAGCAAATGTGTTCTTTTCCCAATACCTTGTAGATGTGGCTCCCCTCCCCCCTTTTTTTTGCATTTGGTGACTGTTTGGCTTGCATCACTAAGAGTACTTACATGACATATCGGGGCGGGGCGGGGGGGGGGGAAGAAAGCTGATAACCTTTTCTGATTTTAGGGGGATTTTAAAGGGAGGGGAAGGAAGGGAATTTATATATTTTAAAAATCATATATTATTTTTCAAATGTTTGGATTGTATGGAGCGCTCGTGTAGTGACTGTATCATTTGTAGGAGAAAGTTACATATTTCCATTAATACGTAGTACAATGTTCTTTTCTTTTTTTAAAAAAAGAGGAAATTAAAAACTTGCACTGTAAATTTAAAATGTCTTGGTGCTTTTGTGAAATGCTGATTCCACTGCCACGAGGTTCGCATGTTGGTTTTTCACTCATCTCCAATCTTACCTTTGCAAATGGGGAAGATTGAGAACATGACCTAGTCACATAAATGCACCTAAGCCCTCCTTCTTTCAAAACTCCTTAAACTCTGTTTTACGCATGTGTTTCTAAATCTCCCCCAAATAAATGCAGCTGGAAGGTGCACAACATCAACAGGATTGTGCCTTAAGCAAGGTAGCCAACCCGATGCATTTCGAGGTGTTTCGGAATACAAATCCCATAATCCTTGATAACTGACCACACTGGCTGAAGCTGGTGGGAGTTGGAGTCCATGATATCTCGAGGGTTCTAAGCTGGCTACCCGTCCTTTAAGATGCTAGGCTGACCTTGCTTTGGCAACACAAAGCCCTTTCTCTGTTGTGAAGCTATTTTTCCATCCTTTATTGCCTTTGCAAAATGATAGCACTAATAACAATGACCTGCTCAAAACCTCCCCAATGCTCCTCAGCATTGGGTCTTGGTCCAATGTGTGGTGTATCCTTTTAAGAATGTGCACAAATTCAAAATTTTGGAGGGCCATGTGTATGACTGGAGACTCTGCCTGTTTTTTTAAGAACTTTGAGGCAGTTCATAGCAGTGGCATTGAAAAGCGATGGAGAATTCCGATGAAACTGAAAAGGAAGCAGAAGTTGTGGTCAGGAAGGGAAATAATTCAAGCAAGGGGCATTCATTCTGTGACAGTGTTGTTGGCGTTTTAAGTCCACGAATGACACACAATGAATGGCTTTTTTAAAACCTGTTGTGGAAGTGTGGGTGGGTTCCCACGAGGCAAGACACAGTGATAACAGCAAAAACCTTTATTGAACTGCACAACTGGGAAACAGGAGCAAAACAACTGCTTATACACATTCCTGAAAGCCTATGCCACTCCTACTCCCAACGTGATTGGCTGTCTAAACTTCCAAGCTGCGAATCACGACTCAGAGTTCAAGGGCCAATGGCAGAGGCCCAAATCCTGAAATGTTCTGTGATTGGACACCATGTATCAAAGAACACAGGAGCTCAGAATCCTTAGTCCCGACTCAAGCTCAGGCAAACACAGACCACTGAATACATAACAGTTGTGACATTTCCTTTACATTGAAATGAATGTAAGTTATGTAACTAATTTCGAGGACAGATGTAACTTACATAAGTCATGTAACTTACATTAACCAGTGGACAGTGGGACACATAACATAGAATTTGGTGGAAACTGAACTGCAGAGGACTAGAAACAGTGCTGATTATGGCATGTACAGGCTGGAATGGAAATCGCTGTCTTCTTACATCCCTGGTAGCACCTCCTGCCCCAATTTCCTGGCCACCCATTCCTGCCAATTGCTGAGAGCAGCAATTAGAATCTCACAATCTACTGTTAAGTACAGACCTTGGATTCCGACCTGGCTCTTGCTGGATGAAGAACTCGAACTCAGATCAGTACGATACATAGACAAGGCAAGGGTTACAAGGCACAGCAGGCGGACTGCAGGGCTGAGCTAGCTAAGATGCTGATTCAATGAACAACAGCTTTTAAGGAGCAGAATGGGCACAGCTTTAGCACAGCAAGCAAGAGTCACCTTTTGCATGTGGGCAAGCAAATGGGTGCTCCTTTGAGAGGGTTGGGTCTGAGTACAGTCAGATGAATTGCAGCATATCCCTGAAGAATAGCTCAGTTGGTATTGCACGAGACTCTTAATCTCATGGTCATGGGTTTGAGTCCAATGTTGGGTGGAAGATTCCTGCATTGCAGGGGGTTGGACTAGATGACCCCATGGTACCTTCCAGCTCTACAGATCTGAGATTCTAGATGGTGGTGGTGGTGACTGAGAAGAGCCCCTTTGATCAGTTCTCTGTATTGCCATGCCTTTCCCCAAAATTTAGGCATCTGCTTCGGTTTATAGAGTACTTTTAAACTTCTTGTTTTGAAAACATCAGCAGCAGCAACAACAACAACAACAACAACTTAACCTGCATAGTGCCAAGCCATAGCTGAGTTTTGTTTCTTGAAATGCAGACACCTCTGAGGTGGAAGATGACAGCCAGTTTGACGGCAAAAATGCAAGAGACTAGTTTGCTTGGAAGACAACAACCTGTGTACTCCACTGTGTTGATACAATGGCTTTAAACTGAAGAGGCTTTATGATAACATATAATTCCTTAGCTAAGAGTTATTTACTGAATTGCGACTGCCTCTGGGGTGCAGGACAGCTGCCAGCCAATTTCTGCAGAACCGGAGAATGGCTGCTTGATGATAGATAAGTACACACAGATGATGTTGTCAGTCAATCACAGCAGGGGATCACTTCCAAGCTCTTCCGTCATTAGAAAATCATCTGCCTGATAAAAAGAATAAAATATGAATACTTGCCATGAAGTATGAAGGGGCATGGCTGGCATTGCTGAACCTGAACTTATAATTTTCAGTAGGAAAATGTTTGCTTACCTGGAGTTCAGACCACACAAGTTCATCCCTCTGGCTACTCTTAAGGTGTTTGCAAAGATTAATAGGCAACTGTTCAAAAAGTATGAGAAGTGGAATATTTATTAAGATGGAGAGGTATGTCTCTTACAAGGATAATTATCAGGTGAGAAAATGGAAATCAGTTTTGGGAGTGTTGTTGAAACATACACAAAGCCTGCACTTACAACGTACCCCTAGAAGGCAGAGTCATTTAAGACCTCTCTTCAGCTTCATTCAGACATGGGGGATATTGCATTCGTTTTCCTGATTGTAATTCTAGTGCTTCTAATTTCTTTCACACTGCAGTCCCTGTTGCATTATGGAACTGTGGCTTTTTGGCCAATATACCAGCATGTCATGCTCAATTTCATTCACACCCGTAGCAGTGGTGTGACTCAAAAATCAATGTCCAGGGACAATGCCACTACTCCCCAACCTTTCCCACATGTGTGCTTCTTTCACCCCATGATTCATCCATGAACGGCAGGAACAGGCTGTATGCCAGGATACAGCTCCAAATTTAATCACTCTACTCTAATAATTTTGCGGGTTAAGGTGGCTGCGAATGGATTCTTTTCTGGAAGCAATTAACACAGAAATGAGTGTTATTCTTCTAGTACGTTCTGCAAGGTTTCCGGAAGTGGCTTTTACATCACCTGAAAGCTCAAATATAATGTGGAAATTAATGTTAGAGAAACAGAATAAACTGTGTGAAAGTCAAGGATGGGAAGCCCACGGTACTCTGATGTTGCTAAGACTACAAATCCCATCATCCTTGACCATTGGCCACCATGGGAGGGTGAGTTGTCAGCTACTGGGTAAAGGTAAAGGGACCCCTGACCATTAGGTCCAGTCGTGACCGACTCTGGGGTTGCGGCGCTCATCTCGCCTTATTGGCCAAGGGAGCCGGCGTACAGCTTCCGAGTCATGTGGCCAGCATGACCAAGCCGCTTCTGGCGAACCAGAGCAGCGCACGGAAACGCCGTTTACCTTCCCGCCGGAGCGGTACCTATTTATCTACTTGCACTTTGACGTGCTTTCGAACTGCTAGGTTGGCAGGAGCAGAGACTGAGCAACGGGAGCTCACCCCATCGTGGGGATTCGAACAGCCAACCTTCTGATCGGCAAGTCCTAGGCTCTGTGGTTTAACCCACAGCGCCAACTGCGTCCCTATCTGCTAGGACCCTCCCTCAAATCAGACATCTCTTGGGGTTCAGAATCTACAACAGGCGTCCTCAAACTTGGCCCTCTAGATGTTTTGAGATTACAATTCCCATCATCCCTGACCACTGGTCCTGCTAGCTAGGGATCATGGGAGTTGTAGGCCAAAAACATCTGGAGGGCCGAGTTTGTGGAAGCCTGATCTACAAAGCCTCACCCTACTGGGAACTCCCTAAGGTCTTCCAGGTCTAACTCCCTGAGCTTCTCCTCCTTCTCCAGGTCCGACCACCCTGCACCAAGACATTTCCATGGGACTCTTGAAGAAGATTTATTGCTCAGATAAGTCCTGGCATCCAGCCCGCTTCGGCTGCGCAGCTACCGGCCAGGCCTCCGCACTTCAAAGGGCCACATTCCGATGCTCTGAGCAAACGCAGAGTTAAGCAGCGGTAAGAGAAAGCTGCAAACTTCAGTGCTTTCTTCAGTGTGCTTAAATAAAGTCCACTCAGGATATTAGCAGCTAGAAGCAGTTTTTATTTACAACAGACTATCCATTGTCGAACAGCATTGTGAAAACATGTCCACTCTCCTCAAAAGCGAAAGTAGAGAAAAACAAAGGGTTTAGACTCTCGGATATGACGCAGAATATCCCCCCTCCCAATAGTGGGCAGGGCGTACACTCTGAGCTGTTTAACCCTGTAAGCTCAGGTTCTCCTCACAACTCTTTGTGCTGGTGCAAATAGATTTTGCACTCTCAGCCTGCTTGCTGAAGCCCTTGCTTGCTTGCCTGCCCAGTCCTGAGCCTCGGGATGTCAACTATGCAAATGCAGGTGCCCACCCCACTCTTCAGAAACAGAGCTCAGGAGGATAAGTCAAATGTTGCATCTGTGTCTTATTGTCTGCCTAGCCATGTGTTCTAGAGCTCCACCACACTTCTTGACTTTGCAGCCTGTAACCCAGTCTTGGGTTCCATGATCACTGCAGATGGTGACAGCGGTCACAAAATTAAAAGACGCCTGCTTCTTGGGAGAAAAGCAATGACAAACCTAGACAGCATCTTAAAAAGCAGAGACATTACCTTGCTGACAAAGGTCCGTATAGTTAAAGCTACGGATTTCCCAGTAGTGATGTATGGAAGTGAGAGCTGGACCATAAAGAAGGCTGATCGCCGAAGAATTGATGCTTTTGAATTATGGTGCTGGAGGAGACTCTTGAGAGTCCCATGGACTGCAAGAAGATCAAACCTATCCATTCTGAAGGAAATCAGCCCTGAGTGCTCACTGGAATGACAGATCCTGAAGCTGAGGCTCCAATACTTTGGCTACCTCATGAGAAGAGAAGGCTCCCTGGAAAAGACCCTGATCTTGGGAAAGATGGAGGGCACAAGGAGAAGAGGACAACAGAGGACGAGATGGTTGGACAGTGTTCTTGAAGCTACCAGCATGAGTTTGACCAAACTGCGGGAGGCAGTGGAAGACAGGAGTGCCTGGCGTGCCCTGGTCCATGGGGTCACGAAGAGTCAGACACGACTAAACAACAACAACAACCCAGTTTACGTTGGGGCACGACCATGAATTTTGGAAGAAAGCTTTAAATCCTAACATCCGAGATGAGAGTTTGGGTACCAAATCTGTGAGGGGAAGCCAAGACATGGGGGCAGGCTAAGGTTGGGAGGACAGCACCCCATTCTACTGAATGGACTGGGCTCCTCTGGCTGGCAATGGGATAGTGTCCTCCATTGCCACTGAGCACAGCAGGCTAGATTATGGGTTGCAGGATACAGCCCATGGGTCCACTGCCCACCTCTCAGATTTTGTCGCCTGGCTCACTCTGCCTCATGCCTAGAATGTTGAGGGGATAATCTAATAAGAGTCTGTAATGTAGGGAATGATGCCTCTTTGCAACTAGGGGATAGTAAAAAAAGAGGCTAGAATGAGACCCTGAATCACAGCATCTTTATTTGGGTCTGACTCACTAGATCCCAAACTTTTTGTCACTTGGAAGGCAGTGGAGATGCTGCAGCTGCTATCTTTCTCTAAAGAACAGGGCTACATTATTTTGCAGGAGGGGAGGTGGACGTTTATTTGAACGCAATAATTATTGCAGTGATGCATCAGGAGGAAAAATATAAAGATACCGAATAAAGCAATGGGGGAGCAAATAAGGAATGCCTAACGCCTGGATGCTGAAAACAAGGAATGAAACGACACCCTAATTGCTACTGCAGTATTAGTTTCTGCTAAGGGGAAAAAGAGGATTTTTAAGGTTCTGAGAAGAGGGTCATTTTCTATGTCTTGGCTCCCAAGAGGGAAAAATGTAGAGCTCATGCTCACTTGGGATCAGGGCCGGCCCAAGATATTTTGGCACCTGAGGCGAACCACAAGGTGCCCTCCCCCTGGAAGAAGGGGTGAGTGCAGATCTACATCAGGAGTAGGGTGAGGGGAGAGAGACAAATCAATCTTACTTGACGGTTGAAGTGAAAATCAAAGGCTGTCATGGGGGAAGGGAAGGGGGCTGCTCTGAATTGCAGTGATATCCCAGGGGGCAGCTCTCACCATTTCCTCTCTAGGGGTGGGAGAAGAAGAGCTGCAGATTCTGTTTGCCAAGAGGTCACCGCAGAGGTGGCATACTGTGACTATCGCTGTTACTGCAGTAGCAGCAGTGGGTGATGCATTCCTTGGAGCCTGGATCTGCTGCCCCTGAGGATGCTTCCACCCGAGGCAGTCTCCTCAACTTGCCTCATGGGTGGGCTGGCTCTGAATGGCTGCTGAAGCAATATCAGAGCTCTGTTCTCCTCTGACCAGTGCCTGAGTATGTTCTGGCCCCAAGCCTCCCCTTAGCACTCGTCCTAAAACCACGGGCGTCTGCTGGGATGTGGGTCTTGGCAGATGCCAAACCATGATGTTGCCCCTGCAATGAAAGTACCGTATATTCACAAAATCAGAAGGTTGGCGGTTTGAATACGCATGACGGGGTGAGCTCCTGTTGCTCTGTCCCAGCTCCTGCCAACCCAGTAGTTCGAAAGCACACCAGTGCAAGTAGATGAATAGGTATCATTGTGGCGGGAAGGTAAACGGTGTTTCTGTGCACTCTGGCTTCCGTCACCGTGTTTCAT